TATGGCGCCCTTGTCCCCATTTAGGTGACCGCCCTATGAGGGTTAAAAGTTAACTTTAGTGAGAGTTATCTTACATTGTATTCTTTTTTTAAAAGTTTTATTTGACATTGATTTGCATTAACAAGCAGTGATACATTGTCAGTGAAGTACATAACATATGACCATTTGCAATAAAGTACAGTAACAAACGGTTACATCAATGCGGTAATTGTCTTTATCAGCAGTGATAGTTAGGCTATAGTTATCTAGATGATACTCTGAAATCTGAGGTGTCCAATACCTGGACTCATTCCCTGTTGTCTAACACTAGCCTGAGGGTCTGCATACTTTAGTTGTTTTTAGTGTAAGTGGCTTGTCGTCTTCGATTCTGTGCCGTGTCAATTGGCGGTGTCTTATCGGTTATCTCGCACGTATCCCTGGCCCCCTTTCTAGGTAGGTGAGGGGGGAGAGGGTGGAAGGCAATTGCCTTGAACGTCAGGGGACGTCTAGTGACTGACACTTGTTAACCTACCTATAAGCTGTGTAGTTTGCCTCGGGCTCCTTACTTTTCAGAGCTGAAGCGTTACGAACCTTTAACCACGGCTGCATTTTCTTTGTCTCTGCATTTAGCTGGACATCTGTGTTTCCACAAAAACTTGAGAGCTGTCACAGATCTATAGAAAATTTGATCATTCCATTAATCTAAACACCCAACTGTTCTCGTAATGTCTCCAGTTATACGTATATTTAACATTTGTATATGTAATAAATGTAGGTGTTATATCATTAAATTAATAGTTATATTAAACACCAAAAAAAGAAGCCCAAACGAATAAATAAAACGGTATAAAATATCTTACACTATACCAAATATTCAGTGTAAAATAATAAGTAGATGTCTATAGTGAATACTTTACGCTGGAGCTTTTTGACGTAGTGTATGTTTAAGAGTTTTCCAATCCGATCTCCTATCTGCCTTCTCAGGTTTACATTGCACACAGGTAGGGCTACTGTTAGTTATCAGTGATTGTGCGCCCAGCAGGTTTCTCTCCGATATTGATATTATAATCATTCCACACCCAGTATTTTAATCCCAGGTTACTTATTCAAGACAAAAAAAGCGGAAGTGAATGCAGCTCTCCGCGCCTGAACTCATAGTGAACTTTGCTGGTAATAAAAGGAGAGTTTCATGTGCAGGTTACCTTTAGTTTTGGTTAACCTCTTGCCTACCAGACTGGTGAGAAACATACGTTTCAATCTTCAGAACGAAAAAAAAAAAAAATCAGATTCTCTCAACTGTAGAAAAAGAATGTCTCCATGTTACAGTAACAAGGGTTTTTTTTACTTATAGGGAGATATTTAATTCAAATACTTTATTGTAGTTTTATATCAGCATATTGTTATAGCATAAGTGAGACTCGCAGGTCTCCATATCAGGAGGTAACGATGTGGCCGCGCAGGGCCTATCATCTGAAAGCATTTGTTAGTGCGTTTAATATCATTTAAGTAAGCTTCAACATCATAGCATTTAACCATTCGAGTCACATGGGGTAAGTGTGTGTTCTGCTATGTTGGTGGGTATTAGATAAGAAGGAATTAGCGTGATGAGATGAGGGTGGAATAGTGAGTTCCAATTCAGTTTGCGTTTTGGTAGCGTTGTAGTATCCTTAGCGTTGTAAAGTTCCCTAGGGTGGTGAGGTTTTTCCTGTACTGTGTTGTCTTGCCCCTAATGTTGTTTTCCCCGCTTTCTAATTAGTGTAGGGTTTATGTTAAATGTGTTGGCTTATGATACCCAGCTCGCGATGCGTGGTGTTTGGGAGCGGATCGTGTAAGTGTCGTTCTTTTGAACGTGTTTTACTTAGTCAGTTGTGTGTTCAACTGTTTGTAATTTCTGGGGTGCCTGGGGGGCGCTATTCACTGCGTGTTAGTTTGTAGTTTCTTCGGTTTAGTGTGTTTTTGTATGTGCTGTGGGGTGTTGGGTTAGTTGGCAATTGTGGTGTCATGTGGCTATAGCTTGGTTGAGGGTAACAGAGCTATTAAATTGGTTAGTTAGAGATGTGTGAAGGTAGATCAGGGGAGAGGAGAGGGGGTGAAAAGGGTGGGGGGGGTGTCAGGGATGGTACCTGAGTTATATCCCAAGAGGCAGCTCGTCCTGCCCTTCACCAAGGGCGTCCCCAGTATGGACGCGGGGAGGCCGTCCAATCCGGCTCCTTATGTATCTCTTATGGCCCTGCGCTCCCCCTTGCCTCCGCCGTCCGTTCCGCCACATAGACCAGCCACGGTCGCCATCTTTCTATATGTTTCTCCTCTGTACCCAAAAGTGTGGCCTGTACCGATTCTGCGGTGTATATCTCGTCTACTTTTCCCAGCCACTGTGTTATTGTAGTTTGTTTCCAGTGTTGTGGGATCAGAGCTTTGGCTGCATTCAGGAGGTGTCTGAGTATGGATTTACTGTACGTTACAATGGGGTTTGGTGTGGAGTGAAGAAGGGCTAGTTCTTTATCGAATTCTCCTGTGTTGCCCAGTATTTCCTTGGTTTTCTGTTGTATTGCATCCCAGTATGTTGTGATGTGGGGGCAGTCCCACCATATGTGCGTTATGGTTCCTGGGCCCGTGCCACACCTCCAGCATATGTTGGCTGACATCGGGAAGATTCTGTGTAGGTTGTCGGGTGTTTTGTACCACTGTGCTAGTAGTTTGAACTTGGTTTCCTGGTATTTGGTGCTGGATGAGCTTTTATGGTGTAGGATTAGTATTTTTTCCCATTGGGCTTTGGTGAATGTTTTATCCAGTAAGCACTCACAGTGTCTCCTGTAGGTGTTTTTGGTGTCGAGATGTCTAACAAGGAGATGCTGGTATAGAAGGGAGATGGCTTTGTCGAGAGTCGTTTTATTGTCGCAGAGGCCTTCGAACCATGTTAGGTCTCGGTGTAGTGTATCTCTGTTTGGAAGTGATCGGTACAAGTTTTTTAGTTGTGCGTAGTGGAATGTTTGTATGATCGATGGTGGAGTGCCGTCCGTCAGTTCTCTCAGGGGCTTCAGATCCGCGTTGGTCAGCACTTTGTGTATGGGGATGTGGTCTCCCTCATTGATGAAGTTCCATGCTTGTGAAGGTACTCTCCCTCCTATTTTGGGGTTGTGCTGCACTTGAATCAGTGGGCTCGGCGTTGGGGACACTTGGGTGGCTCCTCTGATGCAGTCCCAAACTTTTACCGTGTGAGCTACTGTGGAGTTGGTGTCCAGTGTGGTTGGCGTTGAGCGGCCCGTGTTCCATACCCTGGGAATCAGGGATGGGTGAAGGTGCCCCTTGTCTAGGGTAACCCATTGTTTGTAACTTGGGTGTGTGTGCCAATCTAGTATCCTCTGTAAGATAACCGCTTTGTGGTATTTGCGAATGTCTGGGAGTGCCAGGCCCCCCCAGGGACTTGGGAGGCATAAGAGATCGTGTTGTAGTCGTGCCTGGTTTCCGTTCCATACGTAGCGGGTCATGGTGGTACGTAGCGAAGAGAACAATGCTTCTGGCAGGGATACCGTTTGGTACAGGTAGAGTATTCTAGGTAATACATTTATCTTCAGTACCACGATTATACCGAACAAGGAGATATGGGGATATATCCACTTCTTCAGGTCCTGTTGGATTCGTTGGAGAAGAGGCACGTAGTTTGCCTGGTACAGTTCTGACATGTCTGTGGTGAGGGCTATTCCAAGGTAGCGCATGTGGGACAGGCACCAGCGGAAGGGGTATTGGCGTTTCAGGGCTTCGGCTTCTGGTGTAGGTATCGTGAGGTTTAGTACTTCGCATTTTGTCATGTTTAGTTTAAAATTTGATAGTTTTCCTCAAGTAGTGTCATCAAGTTAGGTAGTGTGTTCTCCGGCTTGGTGATATAGAATAGGAGGTCACCTGCGTAAGCGGCTCCCTTGTGTGTCAAGGCCTGCCACGGGAAACCCTGTATTTCCGCAGACTGCCGGACTGCTTCCAGAAAGGGTTCCAAGGAGAGTGTGAAAAGCATGGGGGAGAGTGGGCAGCCCTGTCTCGTACCATTCCGTATCTGGAATGAGTCTGTAAGTGCGCCGTTAACCCTAACCTTTGCGTTTGGGTTGTTATATAGTGCTGTAATCCATAGCATCATGTTTTCACCCAGGCCTATTTGCCTCAGCGCGCTCATTAGGAAGGACCAGTTAACTCGGTCGAATGCCTTCTTGGCATCTGTGGACAGGAGGAGGAGCTAAGTCTTGTTTTGTCGTGCTAGGTGGTGGATTGACAGAGTTCTCAGAGTGCAATCTCTGGCCTCTCTCCTGGGTATAAATCTGGTTTGGTCTGGGTGGACGAGTTTCGGCAGTAGGGGACCCAATCTGTTGGAGAGTATTTTCGTTAGAAGTTTCACGTCTACATTGAGGAGGGAAATCGGCCTGTAGCTGCTACAGAGTTCAGGGTTCTTCCCAGGTTTGAGGAGGACCGTGATGATGGCCGTTAATGACTCTTGGTGGAATTGGGCTTCCTTTGTGAGGGCGTTGAAGGCTTGAGTGAGTCTCGGGAGTAGTATGGTTTTGAATTTCTTGTAATATTCCAGAGTGAAGCCGTCTGGTCCGGGTGCGTGTCCCGTTTTAGCCGCCTTGATTGCCCTGGCTATTTCCGCTTCTGTGATTGGGGCCTCCAGTGATTCTCTCTCGTCTGGTTGTAGCCTTTTCGTGATGTGTGTCCTCAGGTAATCTTGTGTCTCTTGTTGTTTGTCCGCTTCTTCTGTCTGTTGGGCTGGGTGAGCGATGTTGTACAGGGATGTATAGAAGTTACGGAATTCGGTCGCGATCCTGTCTGGAAATTGGGTGGTCGTTCCCAAAGGCTCTCTCGTCTGGTTGGAGCCTTTTCGTGATTTGTGTCCTCAGGTAATTTTGTGTCTCTCGTTGTTTGTCCACTTCTTCTGTCTGTTGGGCGGGGTGAGCGATGTTGTACAGGGATGTGTAGAAGTTACAGAATTCGGTCGCGATCCTGTCTGGAAATTGGGTGTTCGTTCCATCGGTCGTTCAGAGTTTATGGACCTGAGCTAGTGGTTGGGGTCCCTTGAGCATTTTCGCTAGCAGTTTCCCTCCCTTGTTTGCGTGCTGGTAAAAGAAAGCTTTTGAGCGTTGTATGGTGCGGTAGTGGGTTCGTGCGATGTGGTCTCGCAGGAGCCTGCATGCCTCCAGCAGTGCAGCGTGGGTCGAGACCAGTTGAGATCTTTTATGTTGCGATTCTAGTGACGTGATTTTGTCTATGAGATCGGCTATCTGTTGTCGGGATACTTTTCTCTTCTTAGCAGTCAGGCGAATCAGTATGCCCTGAACTACGCTTTTGTGCGCCTCCCAGTTTGTGGGGTCTGTTAGTTCTCCTGTTGCATTCAGGTCGAAATATGCGTTCAGTTCCTCAGATACCTTTTCCCGTATCCCTGCGTCTAGGAGGAGTGAGTCTTGCAATCTCCATGTTCGTGTGGCGGGTTGCAGCAGCGGAGAGTCTACTGCCATTGTGACTGGGCTGTGATCCGACCAGAGTGCTGCCTCTATCTCCGCTGATTGTAACCTCGTGAGGATTTCTTGTTGCATGAATAGATAGTCTAGTCTAGCATATCGTTTGTGGGGTGCCAAGTAGTGGGTATATTCCTTATCTGTGGGGTGGGTTGCCCTCCAGCAGTCCACAAGTCTTAGGCTTCGGAGAGATGTTTGTATGTTCCGCAGTGCTCCTTGGAGGACTCTGCTGTGCCCCATGGAGGAGTCTAGTAGTGGGTGTAGGGGGACGTTAAAGTCACTCCCCAGCATCAGGATCCCCTCTGTGAATGAGGAGAGTTTGGAGAGGGCCCTGCGAATATGTTGGGCTTGGTTGCTGTTCGGCACGTATAGTGTCGCGAATGTGTATTTGCGGTCTTGGATTTCACCTTTCAGAAACAGGTAGCGTTCCTGTGGGGGTCTACCAGTCTGTCTATTTCTCGGAATAGGAGTTTTGCCGCCAAGAGTATCGCCACTCCCGCCCGTCTCGCGGAGGTGTGGTTGCTGAAGACCGCAGTGGGGTAGTCCTTGTTTTTTAGTGAGGGTGCGGATCCTTCTTTGAAGTGGGTTTCCTGTAAAAGGGCCACTGCTATATGGCGTCTGCATAGGTCTCGGAGCAGTTGTGTCCGCCTCTCTGGGATATTCAGTCCCCTGCAGTTCAGAGTCAGGACTCTGTGGGTCCAGGAGGTAGGCCCTGTGGGTTCCGGTCGCTTGTGTGGATCCTGCCGGGCGTGAGGCGGGGGGCGCAGCCATATTTCGTAGTGCCATTTTTCGGGCCTCCGTTGCCTTGTGTCTGTATTTGCAGCTTTTAACTATAAAGCATTGCACATACAGAGTTTAACCCCTGTGCTGCCAAAGTGGAAGTGTCATGCAGCACCACGTCAATTTTGTGCCAATTTTCATGTGCAGAGTATCTTTCATGGCTGACACTCTCAGCCAGTGAATGGTGACTCGATTGGGTCCGGCTTCTACTGCTCTGCATCACCAGTGCTGACCAGGAGCCCAACGGGGACCCAGGTAAGAGGGAAATGCTTTGGCCCATTACCAGGGAACCGGTGATTACCAGGGAACCATTACCAGTGCTCACATCATAACCACTTCAGCTGGCTGTAGGAGAAACCCTTTAACACATGTCAGTTAGTCCACCTATTGTACAGCGCTACAGAATGTGTTGACGATCTAGAAATAATAATAATAACACATGCAGTTTCCATGTAGCAGACTAAGAATTTGACTCAAGGTAAAAACCTGTGATTCTGTACACCTGTAACGTGTTAAATCCACTTTACTCAGTAAACATACATATTCACAGATAGATTAACAAAGGATTTAATACAGTTAACACCCAGAGTGTGTATATGAGGCAACTCTTCCCAGTAGTGCACTGAGGGGGTTTAATTAACTTATGAAATATGAATGCATAATATATTTGTGGTCAGGGACCAGGAATATGATATTAATGTAAATACTTACTGATGGTTGTAGAAAGTCAGTTGTGGTGTGCCTAAAAACCGACGTGTTCGACCTATAACAAAATAAAGAGGCACACAGAGTGTGAAAAAAGACAAGGCAAGGGAAAATGTATGGGGTCGTCCGACTGACAAAATGCGATAAAGGATCATATTAGAGGCACTGATATAGGCCAGCAACTGCCCTCCCCCAATTCCGGGCCCCCACCATAGCCGTGCATTACCTTTATATAAATACATAGAAATGGGCAGGACAAAGGATTTCCAATTAAATACCCTTGGAAGGGACTTTTAGTGGGCAATGTTGACAGATCATGGCTTCATTTAGGGACACCTAAATAAATTCTCGTATTTTAATTAGTAGAGCACAGAAGCATGTTCTCAAACGTTCTTAAATCAGCTTGTCATCTGGCAAACCTAATCTTGTCTGTCAAGAGTGGTCCACTACTCAATGGACATTTACCTAATGGAAAGTCAAAGGTCAAAAGGCTCACAGACTGAATAGGTCAAACGAAGCTGATATACATTGTGCAAGGCAACAAAAGGATACTATATAATAGAGGCTATCTAGTACAGTAATGGCTAACTACGGCACCCCAGGCATCTCTGAATTATATTTCTCATGATGCTAGACAAGTTTTCAATAAGGCAGTTCGGACACATCCGGGTTGCCAAGGTTACCCATCACTCCTCTAGAAAAACATTGGTGCTGAGTGTTCCATTAAAGAATCTTGTCATTCTCAGGCAAAAATGGGATACAGTAACCAGAACGAATTGCCACTTCTATCGGCAAAACACAACAGCGTGTATGTACTTTGAGCAAGAGTGAAAACACTGGATTCTACAGGGCAGGAAAGACATTACCTGCTGTTTCAAGATGTGAGAGCTCTAGGGCGTAATAAAAATGACATGAACACGTACTGCCACCCTATTCACATGCCAGGGTAATGATGGTGCTGGGAGTTATTTCTTACCACTGATTGGGTCTCCTGCTAAAAGGTGGTGCAATGTTTAAAAGTCACAGGAGGTCTATACAACACGGCCAGTCAGATGTATCCCATCAAGATAACAGAGTATCCGACCATCAACTAATGAACGACCCTGACACAACTGATGGAAAAATCTGAGTCAAACAACCTGGCATTCTAATCATTCAGAATTTTTGTACATGCTACGTCAAAAAGGAGATGCACCTTAATACAAATATTCAGAATATGTTCCTACAGTATTGTGTACTTCCTGTACATTTATTTATAATTAACTAAAATATGTCATACCAATGTAACATTATCTGCCATAGATTTATCTTTTTGCCTCTTTTGATTTATGAACACGTTACGTAACATGTTATGAAATAAGTTATGAAATTGTAAAAGAAAAAAAACTGCTATTGTCTGTGTTATATTTTTACCAATCAGGGCTGTAAATAGAAGCTTTTATGACAGAGCCTTCCTGCCGTGTGATATAGCTTGCAATTATTTATCTATGTTTCTACTGAACAATTTAAAAATGTAAAATAAGGAAATAAATACCTTAAAAATAACAACACTGTATATAATATATAAACATAAAAAGAAGCCAAGCATCAAACTATAGACAATCGTCTAAACCGCAAGACGTGCCTTTGTCTCTAAACCTCACTGCGCCCATGTTGGTGTTGTACAAAGGACAAAGAGGCTACACCTATTTATACAAATAACATTTAATTGCCTGATTGAACTTGCCACTTATAGGAACAATCTCTCAGCTGCTAATTTCATTGCTTCGAATAATAACATAAACAAAAAACAAAAAACAACAGACCCAAAATCTCAGATATATATATTGCTCATTTGAGCAGGGTCCTCAACCCCCTCTGTTTTTGTGTGGCCAACTTGTCCGGTTACAAATACATTGTACAGCGCTGCGGAATTTGTTGGCGATTTATAAATATTAATAATAATGTGTCTGTCCATGCATTTACTACCAATATGGCCATCACAATGTGCAGATGAAGACTTTTTGTTCCATGAAGTGCCCTCTCGTTATGTTGCAATAAGTGGACAGTACTTTTAGTGATTGTCACACAGACAGGGGAGGCTGACTAGTTGTGTAGCAGCCAGGCAAGCATTGTATCAGTTTGATAAATCCACCAAACATATTTCCGTTGCTTGTTCATCTTGCTATTATACCGAAGGGAGCTGTTTCACTCCCCATAATGAGTGTTTGGAGCGGTCACTTTGTAGATTAAGGATTTTTCTTACAACTAACACTGATATTAGTCTTCTTCTGTTTCTTTAATTTTTTCATATTTTTTTTTTAATTCCTTCTGCAAAAACACAGAAGAACAATTCTCACCGTAAGACACATCTCTTCACTGACTTGCCCCCATCTCTCCCCCTTCTCTGAGCCAACCTTTGTCTGTCCTCCGTTATACACATTTACACGTATCTGTTGTGTGATACGGACAAATGCAGTTTATTTTTATGTCATATTCTGCTGGTACAAATCTGCTTTTATCCTGTTACTTTAATGTTACTCTATGTTACTGATTATTACTATTTTTATCATTATTATTATTGGCATTTAAAAAGCACCACAGTGTGGTACAGTTAGAGGAAAAAAGTAATAAAAAATAAGTTAACTTAATCAGTTTTTTTTTTCTTTGTCAAGATAGGTGATTGCAGGCCTTTAGACAGGACTGCATTTAACACAGTTAGAGGAAGGTATTTACAGCTCGGAGAGCAAGGACTGGAGAGAAAGGGGGGTGGAGGGTTACAGCAAGCATTTGTTTTAGACAATAGAAACATTTACCAACCAAATTCTATCAGCCAAAATATTAATAAATATATGTTCATGCAATGCTGATGGCATATATTAATGAAAATAACAACAATGCAAGTACAGAAAATGACAGTGCTAAACAGGTATAAACAGTAACATTGTTATAGTAACAAATAATAATATTTATTTTATTTATTTATTACTGGCATTTATAAAGTGCCAACATTTTCCGCAGCGCTGTACAAATAGGTGAAACATACAATATGCACAGACCAATACAAAAGAAACAAAGGTAAAAGCCTGTGAGCTAAGATCTAACTATTGAAGCTCTTAAATACAAAGTGCTTAGTTAGACAGCCCGTGAGCTTACAATCTAAGGTAAAGTGTTATGGAATCTGTTGGCGCTATATAAATGGCAATAATAATAATAATAAAGGATATTATGGGGATTTGAGACAAGCGGTATCAGGGGGAATTTGGAAGTGATGACCTGAGAAATATAACAGAGACTATATGATGACAAAAAGTAGAAAAAGTGAGGTGGAGTGTCTTCTGAGGTTCAATCAGTACCTGAACATTTACCAAGAGACAGGTTGGGACGGGGGCAGGGTGGCAATTGCCCTGCAGGCCACCCTAAATCCAGGGCCGGCACTACCATAAGACGGCCCAGGCGGACTCCTAAGGGCGCAACGGCGCTGGGGGAGCAATGTCAGGCCCACCGGCTGGAGAGAAGCACACTGCACTTCCCTCCAGCTGGCTACTTCTTGTAGCGTGGCCGAGCGCAGCCCAGAGCTTTCCGCCCGGGAAGCCCAGCCTCTTAGTCTGGGGTCTGCCGTAGGCTGTGTGGAGGGGGCTGGGATATGAATGACATCATATCCCTGCTCCCTGTGTTCCACACAGCGCGGCTGGTGCCCAATGATGAGGCTGGGCTGCAAGACAGTACTCCACAGAGCCGGACAGCGCGCACCCCAGGGACCAGACTGAACAGATGTAAGTATGTAATTGTGACTGTGTGAATGCATGTATGTCTCTGCATGCATGTATGTATGTATGTCTCTATAGGCATGCATGTAACTGTATGCCTTTATGTCCCTGTATGTGCATATCATGTATGTATGTATGTCTTTGTATGCATGTTTCTGTATGCCTGTATGCATGCATGTGTCTGTATGATGGTATGCCTCAGTTTGTATGTAGGTCTCTGTATGTATGTTATTGTATGCCTGTATGTCTCTGTATGTGTCTGTATGTCTTTGTATGTATGTTTGTGTATGCCTGTATGTATGTGTCTGTATGATGGTATGCCTCTGTATGCATGTATGTCTCTGTATGTATGTCTCTGTATGCCTGTGTGTCTGTATGTATGTTTCTCTATGCCTGTATGTCTCTGTATGTACACATGTATGTATGTTTGTGTATGCCTGTATGTATGTGTCTGTATGATGGTATGCCTCTGTATGCATGTATGTCTCTGTATGTATGTCTCTGTATGCCTGTATGTCTGTATGTATGTTTCTCTATGCCTGTATGTCTCTG